CAGCAGGAGTTTGTGGTGCTTTGCTTGTCTCCAGTCACAGGACAAGAGCACAGCTGCTTTATGCTTAAAAAAAACTCTCATCTATAAGCTTAGGATCATAACTGCTAAAATGCCTTGATTTTACATGAAGAGGAATAACCTGCTGTATCTGCACAAGCAAAACCATTTCTGATGGGGCAAAGGTAGGATCTGACTCCTTGAATATCAGAGATGCAAGGACTGGTAGCTCCCTTCTCAAACAGATGTAAGACACCCCACATCCTAGATCTCCCCCAGCACCCTGATACCAGCATTACCACCCTGCCCAGGAAAGCAAGCTTCCAGCTGTATTTCTGCCACATCAGCTTTCCCTGACAAGGGCATGTCACAGCAACGCTGCTCCCCCCATACACACCATGGAGATGTGCAGTTCCGTCACACCACACAGCATTAACCCCGCACCATTTGCTGCCCATCACTCCCACGCTGCAGCTCCTGCCCGTGAGCTGCCAGCTGCGCTGGCCTGTTGGCACACCCCTGCCCGGCTTTTGATACACCACCTAGAACTCTTTTCATTGCCTCAACTGAAGTGACAGATAAAAGTCACTCCAGTGAGAATGTGCAGCAGGAGAGAATTTATTTGGGTCTGGGTAAGAAAATAAATGACTTGTTGGTGACCTGAACTCTTGTTATGCCCCAATTTGTTTACAGAAATAGCCCAGACAGCCCAACCCTTCACTCCAGAGATCAGAGAGAGCTGGAGGTGCCAAAAGGAATCAGGGCAGTGAGACAGAAAACACCTTGGCATAAACTCACAGGCATTGGAGACCTGTTACCAACAGGTTAATTTTTAGCCTTACTCTTTGAAGCATTAAAAGTAAACAAGCAATAAGGAAGCTTCTTCCCCCTTCCTAGGAGGACTATCTTAAATTCACTGTAGCCCTGTGCCCAAGCCTCAGCTGGTTCAAACAGTTACAGCTCTACTGCCATCACAGCAGCCAAATCCACCTTACAGCTGAAAAGCCAGCCTTGGCTCTCTGCCATGGCATATCATATTTGGACAAAGAAAAGCTCAGGTTAAGAAGCAGCAGTAGTTTCTAGTCAAGTATGCTGTTTAAACACATTTTTCTATCTAATTCAGTCAAGACCCAAGATCAGCAGAGTTGCAAATTCAGATTCCTCTTACAGAATTCCACCTGGGAGCCTCCACATGAGTTTTGGGGCTGTAAAATGCAAGATTTTAATGAACATATAATTTTAAAGAACGTATCATCCAGCTCAATAGAAATATCATAATTTATTCTGTTTGTATAAAAAAAGTTATAATCATGTAACAAAACTATGTCTTCATAAGAAGAAATATATTATTTCACATCATAAATAAATCAAACAAATAACCCTTGGCAACTCAAAAAAGCACTCGTCTGGTGCTTTCACGTCAGTGCTTGGGAAACAAGGACAGCTGACATACACACACAGGATTACAGTACCAAAAAATACTGAGGTATTTAGGTTCTCTAGAAATGAATCTTTAGTTTTGTGAAGGCAAGAAAAACCCCAATGCACTACTGTAAAAATAAATAAATAGGACTGTCATATAAAAGGGGACAGCATCAGTGTTACTTGAAGTGTCCAGGAATGGGAATACTGGTGAGCATGCTACTAAACATGGAGCAGGCTTAGGACAGACAGAAGACAAGGAGGAACATCTCAGGAAGAGACAGTGTCCTTTGATTTGTGTAGACATCCAGATATTGGCTTTAAAAGTCATCAGAAAAGTCAGTAACACCTAGTTCTCTGGCATCAGGTGAGCTCCTCTCCATTTGTGACACTGTTCTGGGATGCATGGATGGTTCCCCACAAAACATGAGTGATGGATGACACTGTCCCTGTAGTTATTGCACTTCTGAGACAGTAAGTCTGAGTTCTGACCATATTTTCACCTGGTTTTCAGCAGCTTGGGGAAGTGGTGATGGGGCTCTGAAGGTAGCTTAACGCACTGGACGACGTGTGAACAGGGATGGAGACTGGAAAGTTAAAGACCGTGGTAGTCGATGCTCCTCTGTCCAATACTGACATGGCAGGGCTCCCAGCTTCTGCCGAGCAGTTGGGGGCGAGGACCTGCGACTCAAACTGAAGCAGCTGCCCCATGAAGCTGAAGTTTGGGGAGATGATGCTTCTTCTCTGCTTCACAAACTCAAAGGCTTCATCCAGTTTGACTCTGTTGGTCCTCATGAGATAAGCAAGACATATGGTTGCTGATCGGGAAATGCCAGCCTGGCAGTGCACAAATACCCTTCCGCCATCATTTTTAACAGAGTCTGAAAGAATTAAAATACACAGTTAGCAAACAAGTCCCACTGCTTCCAGAGGTGGGAAAGCACAGGCTGCTGTTTTACATTTCTTTAATCCATCCCTTCCTTAGCCTAATTGGTACACCCGGTGCTTTTGAGACAAAGAGAGCCTTTGTCCTGAGGGAACTAGCAGTCTAGCTGTTTTCATTCTGGGCTCGAATTCCAATTATACTAATAGCTCCTCCAGGTAATTTTAGCAGTTTTGCAAGATTACTTTAATACTGATCCGCTCAAATTCACTAGCTCTTTTCTGCAAGACCAATGCCTCTTGATTCAAGATTCCAAACTGCTTTGTGAAGCTAAGATTATTCCTCTGAGCAGGATAAAATTAATGGAAATGTTCCCCAAGTATCTGCCCTACAGAACTAAATTCCCCAGTCTCAAATGTAGATTTTACTGGGGAAAACAACGCTCAAAAATCACTTCCCAGGGTACATTACCCCAGAAAAAGAACAGACTGTAAAGAGAGCTTACTTACCTATGAAATCAATTGCCTCATTAAACCAGGAGCTGATATCTGCCTTGTGGTTGTCCTCCACGGGGATACTTTTATACTGATAGTGCCCCTCAAAGTGGTTGGGGCAGTTTGCCGAGACGTTGATTAACGCAGTGATCCCCAAAGCATCCAGCATGTCTTTTCGGGAGGCATGGTAAGCGCTGCCCAAGTAGAGGAACGGCAAGATTTCCACCGGCCCACCCTAAAACAGAAAAGACAGACAACCGGTTAACTTCACCCGGCAGTTTGCCAACAGCCTCCCGCTCGCTCCCAGATCCCGCACACGTCCAGCGGAGCTGCCCG